AAGGTGGCATGCCCTTTCTGTGCTTTAGTTTTGTCTTCCAGAAAATGCCTACCACATATAATCACTTAATAACTGCTATGTATTTATTATGCGCAAAATAATAAATTGCACACCCTACAATGGAACCAGCCTTAGAAAGTAAAGAATGGCAGCTATTTGCACTCAGAACGCGAGCCCTCCTGCTTCCTTTCAGAAGGCAGAGTCTACAATCAGGGTGTCCTTGTGCTAAATAATGGCCAGCATTTAATGAAATTGTTCGAGACTGTTTATTTAACCCACGAAGCTATCCTGCCAGGTTAATATGCATTGAGTTTAGAGGTGTATTGACTCTCATCTCCTGGGCTTTGGCCAATTGAAACAAAGAGTCACAGCAGGTCAGGGTCTCGCTGCCCTGGCCTTAGATCTCTGATCAAGATGAGGTCTCTTGTTGGCCCTCCTATCATGGAGAAGGGGATCCTCACAGCGTTCTCTTCTGAAAGGGGACTTTCCAGTCCAGCAAAAGCTGGAAGATCCTGGACAAAGGGAAAAGCAGCCCCTTGCATGAATGCAGAGGAAAGAGAAAAAGGGTTTTATTTTCTTTCTTCGAGAAAACTGAACTAAAAGGAAAAGTTTAGTGACACGTGAACAGGAACAACAAGAAATAAGGGTATATTTTTCCATCCTGTCCCCTCCTGGAGAAACACATGAGCCAGCAGTCCAGGCCTGCCTTCCTGTCGCGGCTACTTTCTGTAAGTGTGGAGAAGGGTACAGAGAGGTTAAGGGACCTGCAGAAAACTTTAAGCTTCAAAACCATTGATAAAGCCCAGTTTCTGGACTCACACACCTGGCCTACCCCACATTCTGCAGCAGCCTGACCCACTGGCTGTCCTGCTTTTCCACGGGACCGCAGCCCTTCTCCGCACACCACTCTGTCAGGAAGTGACGCCTCCAGACAGTGATGATTAACCACCCGAACGAGTGGCACAGATAGTAAGTGCGGCAGGCTTTAAAAATAGCCCTGAAAGCCCTTGATGCATGCAGAAAGGGCAGAATGACACTCGGAGCGTCTCAAGGAGGACGACACAAGGAGCGCACATGCTGAACCAGATGACCTTTCCCCACGCTGCCAGCTCAAGCTGTAAGGACTGTAGGCAACGGGGAGGAACACTCAGCCACAGAGGGGCCTCCGCCTAAGTACATCTGACAAGAGGCCATTGGTAGTGAGGTCTGCCCAGATGTGGCGGAGACGGGGTGGGGGTGTGGCTGTTTTAGAGGGAACGTTTGGAATGGAGTGACCAAGGTTTGTGAAGGAAATTCTGCTGATATGAGCAGAGAGAGAGAGAGAGAGAGAGAGAGAGAGAGAGAGAGAGAGAGAGCGAGCTATTGCTGTAGGGGAAGAAAACGGGAGGAAAATAGAACCAAACCAAGGCACAAAGGCATGAAAACCTTACTCTGCCCTTACGAAGGGTTAATATGGCTGCTGGGATCATGTATACCTTAAGGTCCTAAGCAGATAGGAGGGCTGGGGGTGCCCTGGGATCCATGTGCTCAGAGCCAGGACCCCAGAGCTGAGAGTATGGCCAACTGAGATCAATCAAGAGGACTCGAAACCAAGGAGGGGATCGAAGGCAATTCCTGGACTAGAAGAAGCCCGGTAGAGCGCAAATGGAGAAAGGTATCCTGGGAAACCAGTTCATGCAGAGGGGGCACTGGGCAACCTGTGTGATGAGAGCCAATGTCCTATCATAGATGTGAAGATTTTGCTACAAAGCAGCAGTAGTACACCCATTGAGAATGAATAAAGGGGACCCACGGGGATTCCTGCACCATGATTACCACCTTCCACTACTGCCACCAACACTGCTGCAGGTTGAGTCCCCAAGGACTGTTGTTCTTCCTATGAAAAAAGCTGCCAGCGCCAGCTAACTGCACTTGGCAGTTGCTTTTTGTTCCTATGTATTCCTTTCTCTGACTCTCAGCTTGCCCATCTCTCCTTATCCTAAGCACGCAAACTCTTGCAGATGCAAGCATCCTTCTTGTCTTTCCGGGAGTGCCTAGGAACCATCCGCATAGCTTCTGTTTACCATGGCAGGGGCATCCGTCCAACTCTTTGGGAGCAGAAACCTGACGCCTGGCATTGCTTCTCATTCCAGCTTCTCTGTAGCCTAGCAATTTCACAGGTGAGAAATTTTCTCTGAGCCTATGTAAACCGACACCTGATTAGACTGGAGAACTTAGACGATGAGCACCAACACAAAGATTTTTGTACTTTTTTTTATTGTAAATAGCCCAAATATTTGGTCCCATTTCCGTTTAAATGGGCAAACCATAATATTGATGGCTCGCAACAGATGCAAGATGAATTGAGCTTCTCCACCAGCTAGCTGAACCACTTTTAATGGGGAATATATCGAAGCTATAAATTCCTGCAGGCAGGATTGCTATGCAATAGCATAATATATCGTCTATTCAATCTTTTATACATTATGTTTTGTCCTGCATCCCCGTGGATATATTTATGGATCCGGAGCTTTTTGGTGAAGACGCGCCACGCACCTCTTCTTCTCCTGCTCTGCATTTTCACAGGCCCTGCAGATCAACCTCATTTATTCTTGTTCTTTATCAGAGACCTGGAGTTTGTTCTTTGTCCTCAGGGCTGAGCTTCCTCTGTGAGAATCAGGCTCTGCGGCTCCAGACCTCTCTGGGATGCTTTTGTCCACTAGGAGGCAGAGATGCCAGGCGAAATGAATGGGCACTTACAGCTGGGGGCAAATGCTACCCTGGTGCTCTCTCCTTACATAAGGGCTGGTGATCTCCAGCCCTATCTTCCTATCACAAGCGTGATAACCTGCCAAGCCACAGTTCCTCTCCTACAAGGCTTTTCCCACTGATCAGAATGAGACTTGCAGTTAATTTTCCCTTTCTGCCATCAAAGTATTGAAGGGAGCCAGTTTGTTTCGGTTCACCATTTCAGAGAGATTTCAATTCGCCAGAGAGAGAGAGAGGCTACGGCAGAGCCATGGTGGCCAGATGTGTGGCAGAGACACCTCGCACCATGACGAATGGAGAAGCCAGAACCGGGGGTGAGTAGAACCTCAGAACCCTTCCTTTAATGCCGTCCTTTCACCTGCCAGGCCCCACTCTTCAGCACTCCACAGGGTTTATACCAGTGTCACCAGGACCGAGCCCTCAAAGCGCGAGCCATGGGGAACATACCAAGTTCAAACCACATTGAGGACCTAATAAATCTAAGTCCCCATGCCATGCATGGATGGAAACAATACAAGACAGCAACAATCAGAGAACAACCAACTCATGGGAGCAGCTCTGAGATAACCGACCCGAGTCGGCCTCTCAGCTCGCCAGTTCTCAGTCGCTCAACATGGACTTTGCTCAAAACCCCAGTTTCTTCATCTACAAAAACAAGGGTAATAGTATTTGCAGTGGTGTTCTGGTCAATAGTGAATGGTCCTATTGTGTTCATTACCTTTGTTTCTAATGCATTTTCTCTAATGGCAAGTTCATATACTTTTATTTTCAGCAATGACCCTTTTTTTTACAAATATCCTACTCATCGGATTTCTTAAACTAAACAACCAGCTTTTGCAAGCTGGTAGGGGGCAATTCGCACACATCCCCAAGTCCCAGAAATCATGCTTACGAAGGTTGAATCACTGGAGGCTTATCATGTGTTACTGATGCCCAGTCCAGAGGAATCCTTTGCTTAGTTATGGCTGTAAACACTTGCAATAACAAGACGATTAAGAAGTGCAGCATGTTTTAACTTGTGGATAAAGACTTTAAGACAAGTACAAAAATAGAGCTTTTTTTCTGCAACCTAAAACTTGTTTACTTTGCCTTTTAATATGCATGAGAAGGGGTGTGATATCCCCAAAAAGAGTGAGGAAAATGGAGAAGGGAGACAAGAAGGGTGTTGGTGCTAAGAGGTGTTTTAAGCCTCCACAGGAAGGAAAATCAGTGGCCGTCCTCCCATCCCTTTGGGGTCAGAGCATCATAACAAACTGGAACTTCTATCCTGTCTTCAGTATGGTTTGAATTTGGGACATTCCCCATAGTCATTTGTCGCTCTTTCCAAATGTAGGCCTATGTGTTGCATTCCAACACTAAATAGGAGTGATCTTTTCATCACTCACCACAACCGGTCCACTGTTTCCATCCTTCCATTTACAACGGCAGAAGCAGACTATGAACACATCTGCACACACAGCTGTGCCTTTAGTTAGGTCATTAAAGGATTGACGGCAAGGAAGAATAACGGAGCTCTCTCCTTGGGTAAAGTATGCTGCTGCTAACAACAACCTTGCTGGCTGTTGGAAAGGTGAGATAACCCACATAAAATGGCTAGTGTGTGTTTCCTGATGCCAGCATCATTTTGCTGGGCCTGGGGAAGCCTAAACTAATGATGTAGGTGGCTGACAACTGTTTAAAAACAATGATTGTCGAACAAGCGTTTACCTTTCTTGAATCAGAGATTCTACCCACTACTCCCTGAATCCCCAGGTCACTGCATCATCAGTAAAAATACAAGTTCTTTGACCCAGTGACCCAAAGAACCACAGAGCCCATGCGCATAAAGGGGCATTCTGAGGCTGGTTAGCTCACCCTCCCACACCCTGCCAGTTTCAAGCACTGTGAGCACACCACCAAAGCAGAGATTACTATTATCCTCCTTCCTCTAGCCCATTTCCTTCCTTCTCTTTCTCTTCCTTATGCTCCTTCTCCAGAGATGGAGAAAGGGGCATCAGGGTCTAGAGTCAGAGGCTCGGCATCTCCTAATAGCTCAGGTTCTTGCTCACCTGTGCCGTTAGCAAGCTCAGCTAAGGATTTGGGTTTCGGAGCAAATCCTAACACAGGGATGATAGAAAGTAATTAAAAATGCTTTATAAACGGATTAGTATCTTTAGTGTAGTAACATGTGGCCCAGGGAGCATTTTAGCCCTATTGTCTTGTCTGTGTGCAGCCCTAGGTAGAGATGGAAAATGGTAGTTTTGGGGTGCTATGGAGAGCTCCTGGGCTGGAGAGCGGTTGTTTGGGGTGCTGTGGAGAGTTTCTGGGCTTGAGAGCAGTGGTTTTGGGGGTGATGTGGAGAGCAGTGGTCTGGGGGTGCTGTGGAGAGTTCCTGGACTGGAGAGCGATGGTTTGGGGGCGCTGTGGAGAGCAGTGGTTTGGGGATGATGTGGAGAGTTCCTGGACTGGAGAGCAGTAGTTTGGGGGTGCTGTGAAGAACTCATGGATGGGAGAGCAGTGGTTTGGGGTACTGTGGGAAAGCTCCTGGACTGGACTCAAAGCTTCACTCTGAGCTGAAGCTGGAAGTACTTGGGGAAAATAGGGTGAAACCAGATTACGAGCTCAGGCTTTACAGTGCAGGTAATGGGATATTCAGGAGCTCTGGGCAGAGGGATGACATGTAATTGAATTTGCAGAGTCTTGTCAACTTGACTTGCTCTCCTGTCTCCATTACCTCGAGTAAATAGAGGCAGTTCTCGGGCTTAACTTCCAGCACTGCTCTCGCTCTCCCATGGAGATGAAAGAGGACAGTGGATGGGAACATCCAGGGTACTCCAGAATTAATAACCAGGACCTTCAGAAGGCAATGAAATGCCATAACTGAAAACTGTTGCTGGGCCACTGACATTTAGAGGGCAGGGCAGGCATGGCAGACAGTCTGCAGTCCGTGGGACAGTCCCACGCGAAGGAGCATGATAGTATACTTTGCCTGATCTATGCCACAGAGTCACTAATGTAGAATGTGCAGCCCATTTGTGGCCTTTCTCTTTACATGAGAACAGCCTGTCCTTCATCTTGAGCTGTTATTTTTGTTTCGTGCGAGGCCATTCTGTGCTGTTTCTTCCCCTACTGAAGAGTTTCATTCTTATCCTGTTAATTTTGCATTTTAGTATCCACCTATGTCTTCCTGCTGGCATTGCCTTTCATTTTTACATAGAATCCCATCAGCTGATTCTCAAAGTCAAAGATACTGATTCTCAAAGTATAGGTACCCATCTTGTATCATGGTCATTAGTATATATTTATATTATATATATATTTATATTTACATAATGATAGTGTATTATACTATAGAAATATATCTATTTTATATATATACATACACATTTTATATATTAATGTTGTATTATATAAATATATATAATTTTAGATCCATTTTAAATTACAAAGTTATAAAATATGAAAGTGGGTGTTTCTCTAATCACAGTGCCCTAGCCTAATTTCACCCCACCCTAAAACATCTCCTGTTAGGTATTTTATATGTATCCTTCTATAGGTGATCTGTGTATTTAGAGAGAAAGAGGGAGAGTTTTTTCATTTTTCTCACACAAATCCTTGCATACTCCACACAGAATGTCACAGAGACATTCCTCAATCGGTATCTTTCTGGATGATGACTGATCATTCTACCGTGGCATGATCATCATTATTTACCAGCTCCTGTTGATGGACACCACCTTCATATGCAATGATATGCAATAATATGTTTAATAGCCAGATGCAAATAATGTCCTGCATTCACACAAATGCAGCTGCAGCACATATTCTAGAACTGGATATAATAAGATTTATTATCCTAATAAAGATATGTCCACATTAGTGGATAAGGCATATCTGATTTATTCTCCCATCATCAATGGTAGGAACCTCTCTCATTCGCAGCCTCCATTGCGATTTGAATACAAAATGACTGAGGTTCTAGAAAGTGTAGGACTTGGAGCCTAGCTTGAGAAGTAGGTCAGGTCACTAGGGGCGTGTTTCCAGTGTGGATTCTTGTCCTGGGCTCCTGTCTCTGTCACTCTGCATCCTGTCTGCCATGTGTTCCTGCAGCTGTGGTGTTCTGCTTCACGGCGGCTCCTGAGTGAGCAGAACTCAGACAGACTGACACCTCTGAAACCATGAGCGAAGTAAAGCCTTCTTCCTTGTTACTTGGTTTTCTCAGGTGTGTGGCTACAGCAATGACAAAACTAATACACTTGCCAAACAGATTGCACAGACTTTTGTATTTTAGTCAATATAATTATCTTGTTATAACTGTAACTGAGAAGCAGTGTATTTTACTAGTTAGATTTCCTTTATTCTTCCTTTCTTTCTCTCATATTTCAAGTGAACTACTAGACTTTTCCCCTTTTTGGAGTTTTGGCACACATAATCTACGAGCAGTGAGGTTACCAGCCAGAGATTCAGCCAGGCATTCATGGATCCAAACTGGGAGCACAAAGTAGAGAAGACCCCCCCTCCCCAGAGTAATAGGCGGGGAAAAAGTTGCAGAGGCAGGGCTGGTGGAAAATTGCCAGGTCACTACATGGTGGGCCAGCCAAATGGTTTGCAGCTGCATACCTGGTGTAGAAGTTCCTTTTGTTTATGTGTTGCTTTCATTGGTTAATCAATAAAGAAACTGCTTGGCCTGATAGGGCAGAACTTAATGTAGGTAGAGAAGACAGAACTGAATTCTGGGAGGAAGAAAGCAGAGTCAGAGAGAGCTGTCATCGAGCTGCCAGTCAGAGATGCTAAATCTTTCCCGGGAAGCCATGACCTCCTAGTGATATACAGATTAATAGAAATCAGTTAAATCAAGATGTGAGAGCTAGCCAATAGAAATCTAGAGCTAATGGGCCAAGCAGTGTTTTAATTAATACAGATTCTGTCTGGTTATTTGGGGGCTAAGCTAGCCGGGTGCCTGGGAAGAACAAGCAGGCCCTCCCCTTGTAACACGCACCAAAAGGGTAGCTCAGCCACAGAAGGGTAGGTGAGCTGTGTGGGTAGTTTAGCGGGTGTGGACTCTAGCCACGCGGGCACCAATCTGTTGCAATTTAAAACAAAATAGTCTCAAACTAGCCCAGAATGGAGTATAATAAAGGTTTATGTTTTAGGAGTAAACTCACAAGAAAAGCAGTGATGAGCAGTCTTCTGTGAGAGTGTGGAACTGGAACCAAATCCAGCAGCCAAGGGAAGGGCACAAGTCCCTACATCTGCATATATGGTATCCAAGACCACACCCAAAGTAAGCCAGCATCCCAAAGATCATTGGCTGAAGGAGTTCCCACAGCAGCAAACATTATGTCTTATGTCATTTACTCGCTAATTTATCATTATATGTTTTTGTGAAGTAATTTTCTGTATAGGCCAAATTCCGCTCCTTCATTTTCTTCTGACTTTCCTCTTCTTCCTCTTCCTTTCCCTTTTCCTTTCACTTCTTTTTTTCCTCCTTCCCTACTTCCTCCTCTTCTTCCTGTTCTTCTTTCTCCTACCATTTTATTGAGTTATTGCGTTTTTAAATGAAACTATAAAACACCTTTCTTTCTCTGGTGTGATTAAGAACGATAATTGAAAATTTCTATGAATTATTTGGATATCATCCTGGCCCTTTTGTGGTTCCTTAGCAATTTACTTTAGATTAGAGGATGATTTAGAAACCGGAATTTATTATTTTCTGAATAACTACATGCTTTCTCTAAAATTTGTTGAAGAAGTTACTTTCGTTCATTTATTTAAAAATGAACCGGCAGCAAGAAAGAAGGGGATTTATTTTAAATAAACCTGTAGTAAGAAATAAGGGAAGTGTAGGGCATTAGATAAGGACCTGAACTCTGATATTCGGTGGCAGGGGTTCAGTTGTCAGGTTAGTATAGAATTCCCCATGCATCCTCTAATGTTATTGACAAGGCATCCTCCGTGCATTATTGCCATTGGACCTTCAACTCTAGTAGGCTTATCTTTTTCATCATCTATCTATATAGACTCCTTTAAATGTGCATTCTCACTATTTTTAAGTTCATATGTTATTATTTTGGATACCATTATAATAGTGCATTTTTGTCCCATTTTAGTCTCTGCCTGGTTATTTGTGTATGAAGAGTTCCATTATCTGAATATTGCTTTCTGTGAGCCTTCATATTAAATTCTGTTAGAGTCTATAGGAGTTTGAAGTTGTTTCTCTTAGCTTTTCCTACAATCAAATTCATGCAACCTGTAATTACTAATAATGTCACCTCCTCCCCCTCCAATATTTATAGCATTTACGTCTATCTTATTTAATTACCTTATGGAATATCTCCACTAGTAGACTTTCTTATCTTGTTATTGACTTTAATGCGAATGTTTTGCCATCTTATGCCATTATACATAATCTTAGCTTAGAGCTAGAGGTAGAATTTTTTTTATCAAATTAAGGAAATATCTGTCTGTTCTATCACACTAACATTTTTATCATGAGTCAAGTTTGCATTTTATTCTAAATGCCTTTTTCATGGTCGTTCTATTTCCTATCCATAAATGTTGTGCATCAGAGCTGGCCAGATGACTCAGTGCTTGCTACAAAGCCTAATGACCAGAGTTCTTTCCTGAACCCACAGAGAGAGAACTGACTCCCACATATCTCTGATTTCTACGCACCTGTTATGGTACATGCGTACACAGAGAGAAAGATAGCAAAACATAAATAAACTAAAAGATATTGTGAATCATGTCCTTTATTGCGTCTTTGTTTTTCGAGACAGGGTTTCACTGTAGCTCTAGAGCCTGTCCTGGAACTAGCTCTTGTAGACCAGGCTGGCCTCGAACTCACAGAGATCTGCCTGCCTCTGCCTCCTGAGTGCTGGGATTAAAGGCATGCGCCACCACTGCCTGACTTCTTTATTGCATCTTACAGCTCTATATTGCCTACTACCTGCTAGGCACTCTTCTAATCTCTATATATTTAAAAGTGAACACACAAAAGTGGTTCCTGTCCTCCTGGAGCTTACTGTCTACAAAGATAATCCGTATCAAACAAAAAGATGTGTGATGAGATGTCAGGGGGACCACATGAATAGATCACACTTCATGCTGTGTAACTCAAGAAAAGGAAAGTGGGATAAGAGCTCACAACAATGATGAGCAGAAACTTCTTCTCAGATTGTCTCAATCTGTCACCTAAGAAACTGCAAAGGGAATTTTACCCAAATCTTTGAAGGGAGTAATCATAGGGAGAAAATTCAATTACGGGCCCTGGTAAGATTAGAGAGTTCAATAAACTGCCTTTTTATGGCATTGTATTAGAAATTCTGGGAGGGGGAATCAGAATTATAGAATATTTAAGTGCTTCAAAATGCACAGCTCATATTGAGACAGGAGCGCATGGAATCATTCGCTGGGAAGCACAAGGTGAGAATTGAGTTTCTCAGGCAGCCTGTTGCAGTCCCCACTGTTTTACACCTTTGAGACCCATCACCAGCGTGCCCAAAGTCCCATTTCCCATCTTTTCTTTAGCAGGCTTTAACACCTATCAGTTAGGGAAGAGTCTCTGATAAGAAGCCATTCTATTTCCCCATGTTAGCTCTTCTCCCCTCCTAGGTACCGAGGGGTTCTCCTTAAGTATATTTCTCAGACCATAATAATGTCCGAGGTGGCTCACAGCATCATGGTACGCACTATGCTCACACAGTCTTCATTCTCATCCTTTCGTTAGCTCAACTACTAGGCTTGGCCACAGAACTCACTTTGACAAGTGTGTGACTACAAATGTTCTACAAGCACCACAAGCAATGGCATTAAGAGTTCTATGGGCTAGGAAGATAGTTCAGTAGACAAAGCAGTCTTTACACAAGCTTAAAGACCCGAGTTTGGATCCCCAGAACCTCTGTAAAGGCTGGGAGTGTGGCAGTCTGCCTGCAGTTCCAGCATTCAGACAAAGGGTATGTAGAGCAAGTCCATACTGGCCAGCTTAAGATGCAATTGAGAGACTTTCCTCAACACATAAGCAATTGAGGGAGAGTCCAGCCTCAGCTAGCATGAGCATACATGTACATATGCACCTGCTCACTTGCCTGCCCCTATAGATGCATACACTCATAAACACACACACACACACACACAGAGAGAGAGAGAGAGAGAGAGAGAGAGAGAGAGAGAGAGAGAGAGAGCAAACCTTAAGATCTTCAGTATTTTGTTTAGAATCCAGAGACAGCCTTACAAATACCCTGACCTCCCGCACAACAAAAAGATGAAATGACTCAAAAGAAAGCCCTCTGGGTGAGCCCCCTACATCAGCCAGTTTGCCCAGGCCTGACTTCTGAGTAAAGCCAGCCTGCGACATCAATTTCTAGACTAGTCACATGCACAGAAGAGCCACAGCTCGCCCAAAGAAACTGACGAAATACTGGGAATGAAACTGGGAGCCAGTTGGTCATCCACCAATCCCTGTCTGGTACATCTTTCCCTCCCCCTCAAACACAAGCAGAGTGAAGGTCATGTTTTTATCTTATTTACAGAACACAAGAGCCATCATACCAGGGGACACAGAGTACCAGAGTTCCTTGAAAACCCTGACGTCAGAAAGAGGGATTCTGCCTGCGCACTAACCCAAGCCCCATCCATCACCAGGCTCCCTCGGGCACGGTCTGTTCCTGTGATAGATAGCACTTATTCCATTGTGGGGGGCTTATCTGCATAAGTGTCTTCTGCACCCAGTGAGCTGAATGAGAGCAGGGAGCTCTTTGGCCTCTCTAACTGCTGGGTCACAGTACCTAGCACAATAACGCGGCAGGCCTCTGGCAAATGTCTACTGAAGAAAAGGAACCAACTCAGCCTGGCATTAAAGCCTCCAGTGAAGTGGCCTGATGGGAGATGGATGATTAATAATGGTACTAATCATCCATCTCCCTCACCCACAGTCTCGCAGCCCTGCTGGGCTCCTTGGGAGGTTGCCAGTAGAAATGCTGCTTTAAAACAGAGAAGCAGAGCGCAGAGTTGAAGAGGATGAGACAGGACAAATGGGGCAGAGTTGCCACTTTCTTTTGCATCTAGGCTGGTATTTACATTTCAAATGCATGGTCCTTTCCACTGGGCACTCATTCCCAAAGCCCTTGGTCATGGAAAGAACTGCAGCACAAGAGGTCTTATCTGCTGGGTACCCAGTTCTATCAGCCTAATTCCTCTGGGGCCCCTCCTTCCCTGTCTAATAAATCAGCTCATAAGAACATCAAAATGAATATGAAATTGTTCACAAGAAATAAAGTCAAGAGACCACCTTCAGCTTACAAGTAGACTGTGTTCTCCACATTTATGTTTCCGAAGGCTGTATGGAATAGAGTGTTACATTTTTCCATAGAAACCATATTTAAAATGATGGTTAGATTCTCTGGCTCCCACTCAAAAGCCTATTCAAACCATAATGTAACTGAAATAACATATATTTGCAAAGAAAATCAGCAGGGAAAATACTGTTACAATACTAGTAATTAAAACAAAAAATAATACGGAATAGGAAGCAGTATTTCTGACTCATCTCAAATTCACTTGAAGAAAAATAGATTTAATTAGGAAAAAAGGAGGCAGCAGAAAGGTTTTGTGGGCATCAGCAGGCATCTTCCAGTCACCTGGATGGGAGCATTCCTCACCCCTCCCAAGGTAAGCTTGTCCCATTCTTTAATACTCCATTCTAAGTGTGTAACTCCGCTGTGATGTGGTCCAAGCAAAACAAAGAAAGACCGAGGAGACTTCATCTGTTGAATTTGAAAGGTTAAAAAAAAAGTGTAAGAAAGAGACTAGTCACCTTGGGGGGAACAGCTAAGGGGTGTTTTTAAGGCTCCTTAAACCCTACCCTACGCTGTTTCTTGTTTCTTCATTCCTATCACTACAACCAGCTAGAAGATGTCTATCTATTCTATCTATGGGAACACTGAGGCTGGGTAGGAAATGACCTTGTCAAGAGGTTCAGTGATGTGTGCAGGGACCCATGTTAGGACTGTGAAACTGTAAAGCCCTTCCCTTCTCCTTGACTACAAATGAAGAGAATTGAAGAAAACAGGAGCCACTATTTCTATGGAGAGGGGCCAGTAGGAGCCCGGGGACATTGGCTCCCAAGGACACCTGGTGCTCAACCAGAGCAAACAGTTGAAAAAGCTGCCGCCTTGAGCTGGTGAAAAATAACCAATAAAACCCTTGAGCTACCGGACGTCAATGCTCAGGGCTGTGGGAAGAACCAGTCCAGATATGAGGAAGTCTTCATCGACCAATTAGACTGCTCTAAAACCATCCTGATCCTAGCGTCCAACACAAATTTATTATTCCTTACTCTCTGAAGACTGGAAAGTCTAAAGTCCCATTGCTTGCAGGGAGTTGTGACTGTTAAGAGATTTCTCTTCAGCTTTATGAATGATATCTTCTCCTGTGTCCTGGCATGGGAGATAGATCAACAAGGCTTGCCCATACTCTCTTTTAATTACATCATTCCCATTCATGAAGTTTTCACATCCATGCCATTCACCTACCTAAGGTCCACCGTATTATACCATCCATACTATTTGACATTGAGCTTCAACACATATATACATAAACATTCAGGCATGGAAGGATTACTTATGTAGCTGTGGTTCCTATCTTTTAGGAACTATAGCCTAGAATGCACAATCCACAGTGTGATTAAATCCATAATGAGACAAGAAAGACACCAATCCAAACACGACAGGAGAGAAGCTAATAAATAAAGCAAAATTAATCACAGAAGACAGATGCTGAGTGGGAAATGCATCTTGGGAGGAACTCTTTCTCCTTGGGTAAACAAACCCAGAGAGTGCAGAGGAAAAAGAAACTTTGCAAATTACCATTTCCTCTCCTGTTGATCAACCCAGGGGTTCTTGCTCATAAAATTAAAAGAAATAAAATTAAACTGGAGCTAGCTCCCTTAGGCTTCAGGGAAGCCCTTGGGTTCCCGGAGAGTGCTTGCACTGTTGGGAAAGGGTTATCCACCCTCCTTGCATTGTGTGACTTCACTTCCATGGCTGCCATTTAATGATGGAGCTACATGCTCCGAGAGGGTAGCAGCAGTTCGCAGAGGGCAAAGGGCCAATTTCCTGAGGACCGTGCACTTTGACTCTGAGCATGACCCCATGATGAGGGCAACTCTTTCATCCTCCAGGGCCACATCGCTCCTAGTCAGCTCATCCAGCATGAACGTTGCCATCTGCTCTGCGTCAATAGCACAGGATTGCTACTGGATATGCAGATGGCCCCGTGTGGTGCCTCCCCTAGAGGAGTCTGTGACCCAATTGCAGCGCAAAGGCCAACATTGGAAGCAGGCAGAGAACAATTTTCCAACAAATTCTATGAGCTTTCCACCGAGTTCTACAACTTGTATCATTTCCCCCCATATTTTAAGTATATATAAATATATATTTTCACTTCCGAGCCTCAGCAACTTCCCTGTCTGGAAAATAGGATGGGTATGGAACCAGAGATGACAATTAAACCTAGCTCTTTAGATCTTCAATCTAATGCTCTCCCAACTGAGCAATTTCAGGACAGGCTACGTCTGGTTTTTAATTGCACAGGTTCCCTTTGTAAGCAAATCATTCTTTCATTTGTAAGTGACTTATATTAGCAGCTCAAATTGATGAGTCAAAGGTGATAACAACAATAGAACAGAACTGAACTTTGGACCACTCCTGCTGCCAAATTAAGTGTGTTCTAAGAGGGAGAAAGCTTTGCTTTAACAACTAGGAAATGAGCGTTGGCCTCCATCAGGTCAATCTCATTCCTCCCTCTCAAATAAGCTCTTGTTGACCTGGAGTGAGATCTTGTAATGCCTGCTTTCCTTCTCTTCTTCCTCCTTTGGTGCGGGAGAATTGTCTGTATTCTGTCAATCATATTTTAGTAAAACGCTGATTGGCCAGGCTGGGAGTATAGGCGGGAAAGCCAGACAGGAAGTAGGGGTGGAGCAAAGAGACTGGGAGTATTCTGGGAAGCAGGAAGCTCCCTCGCGATTCCTGTGCAGACCACCAAAGAGACAGCATGTAACCTGCCCAGTTGAAAAAGGTAACAAGTCATGTGGCTAACGTAGATAAGGATAATGGGGTAATATGAGTCATAAGAACTAATAAATAGCCTGAGCTAATGGGCCAATCAGCTTTATAATCTTATGGAGTCCTGTGTGTGATTTTCCTTGGGAGTTGCCAGCTGTGAGGTACCAGGCGGAACGGAAACCCCAATAAGCCAGCCCCTCATGTTACACTCCTTTTTGCCTCCGTAGTCCCTATAGGCCCCCAGAGCCCCTCCCCACCCTGCAAGAGTAGAAAAAGGAAACTTGGTTTCAGAAGTATTGTTTATCCAGGACTCACTAAGGGCCCTGAACAGGAAGAGCTACTTGTGAAAGCCATGTATCTCATGATCTCTGCCCATCCACCAGTATTTCTCCTCTGCTACAGTCATCCCACTAAAGAAAAAACAAACTCTGAGACTCCAAGTTACTTGTCCAGCATCATTCATCTGATGATGACAGAAATGAATATCAATCAACTCCGGCCTCAGAACCCATACTCTCTTTAACACCCGGTACTGGGAAAGCCTTCCTTTCGTTGACAGATGAAAGACTCGCATTAAAATACTCCAGAATCTCACCTCTTGCCCCTTCTGGGACCTCCTTTTGAATCCTAAATTCATAAAATGTGTATGCATATGTGTATGTGTCTGTGGTGTGTGTGCCTGTGTTTCTGCCTATCTGTGTATGGCTGTCTGTGTACATCTGTGTCAGTTTATGTCTGTGTGTTCTATTGGTAAGAGAGGAGTTATTATGGGGATCAATTTATTTATAATGGACATTGAGAAGTCTCTTGACCTTCCCTCTATAAACTGGACAACCAAGGCAACCTGGTGTGTGATTCATCCTGAATCTGAAGACCTAAGAACTGAGGACAAAGAGCGTGCATGTCTGAGGGAGGACTGGATGACGTCACTGCTCAGCAGAGAGTATGGTTACCCTCCCTCGACCTTACTTTGTTCAGTTGGGAACCTCAGAAGTTTGGTTGGTTCTGCCCACTGTGGGAGGCTGAACATTAGCAACTTAGTCTATCAACGCATGCTATTCTTTCTGAAAACACCTTCAAAGCACACCCAAGAATATTTTTGTCATCTCTTTGGACATCCATTAGCCCAATAAAGCCAAGAGCTTTCAGAAGTTCTAAGTTCTTTTAACAGTATACTATTAAGAATCAGCAATTACTCGGCACAGAAAGAAACTAAATTAAGTCTTCCGTGGTCCTAAGAGTGACTGGTGAGAGGAACTGTCTGCTTCTCTCACGTCTTCCTCAGCTTTCCCACACATATGTTAAGAAGCAGCTGGAAGTTTTTAGAGACACCTTTGGGACTAATTTGGCAACCCGCATTCATTCCAAAACATGTTCCATGTAAAAATTTGCTTCTGACAGCCCTGTACTCAAACACAGACATCACTAACAATAATGGTTCATGAAAATCCTCTCGCTCAGAGAGCTCTACCTTTATCTAAGCATGTCGGTCACCCAAGGAGCTCTAAGACATTTGGTTACCAGGACTGTATCTCTTCTGGTTCTTAGAGAGATAGATTGGAGTTCAGACCCATTTTTTTTAAAAAAAAAATAATAAGTGTCCTCGGTGATTCTGGTCAATTAAATGTGGGCATTGTCGTAAGCATGAAAATTCCCAGGTGGAATTACTCACTCCCAGTGCCTCAGAATACAGTTTTGTTTAGAAATAAGTTCTCAAAGAGAGGATTATAGAGCTGGAGAGATGGTCCAATACTTAAGAGTGAACTGAGTTCCCAGAACCCACACTAATGGCTCACAACTCCCTGTAACTTCCTCTCCAGGAAATCTGAAACCCTCTTCTGACCTCTGTAGGCACTGAATTCATGTGTTCCCCCACACAGACCCATACATATGTGCATAATTAAAAATAAAATATTTCTAAAGATTAAATAAGAGGCAACTGTGTTCAAATGAAGTTATTGTGCTGGACCCTAACACAATATGACTAATGTTCTCATAGGAAGAAGTAGAAATAGAAATGAAAATTTAGACACAGGTGGGAACAGATCATACAAAGAAAAAAATTGAGAATACCACCTACAAGCTAAAGAGAGAGGTCTCTAAAGAAACAAGCCCTTGAATTTAGACCTCCAGCCTCTAGAACTATGAAAACAGTACATTTGGGTTGTGGGAGTCATCTCATATGCGCAACTTTATTATTAAAACCCCAAGGAACTAATGCAAGTATTTCAAAGTTAATTCAAACTTCTCCTGTTAAAGATGTAGAAACAGAGTTCTCGGGAGATAAAATGAGCTTCCAAAGGTCACTAAGGATTGAAGTAGGGTTGAGGATCAAAAACACACACAGTAGCATACAGTCCAGAGTTCATCTCAGGACCTGTATTTTGTTTTTGTTTGCTTGTTTCATTGTTTTACATATCAACCTCAGTTTCCCTTCCCTACTCTAATCACATCACCCATTCCCATCTACCCCCCTCCCCATCCATGCCTCCTCAATCTCCGTTCAGAAAGGGGTACTCCCCTCTGCCCCTGGCCTTGAATAAAGTGTGGCATATCACCCAGTTCCTCCCCATGGATCAAGGCTGGGTGAGATAATTCAGCGTGGGGAACAGTCAGCTAGCGCCAGGGACAGGTTTTGATCTCACTGCTAGGAGCCTCACAAAGAGACCAAGTTATACAACTGTCACCACACACACACACACACACACACGCAGAGGGCCTAGGGTCCCATGCAGGCTCCCTAACTCATGACCAGGACCTGTATTAGCCCTAAGGACTAGCAAGGTGTCCCAGTGTCAGTCTTCATAAATCTTGCCCTCGGGGCTGATAGCACCATCCTGATACCGTACCCCCTTGAGCATCTGAACTAACTTCTTGCTGCCCCTACTCAGCACTGAGAGGGATCAGTTCCATACTGACAGTCTTCTACCCTTCCTATTGAGCCTTGCCACACAGAGCAGAGAACAGCTCTGGACTCAGAGGACAGCTTTTACAAAAAGTATCTGATTAATTGGCCTGGGAATAATGGAGACAGAAGGTTTATCTCCTTTAAAGAAACTTCTACAAGAAATGAAAGAACCACTGGTTCACTTACGTAGTGTCTGAATTTTATTCACTGTAGAACTCAAAGGGGGTTACTTCCATATCCATCCTTTGGAAGTATCTTCCTCCAAATACAGGACACAGTCCCAATCCTGTCACTAATTCTCTCTTAATCTTGAACCCATCTCTTAGATGATCCAAGCACTCATTCCTTATATGTAGATGGGAGAGAAAAATAAAACTTATTCTATCTACCTCATAGATGCACAGAAAATATCAAATAAGATAATGGGCAAGAAAGCTCTTGGAAATGTGTAAAAATCTTATTCAAATAGGAAATGTGACAAACCCTTCATCCTTAAAAAAAAAAACTTATGTGGATCAGAACAAATGCTGTTTGAAAGAGGCGGTAGCAATCACAATAAGAGTATGAAGTCTGATTGACAGGCAGCTTACATGAGTGGTTTTCAAATTTACAGATGAGATTTTGGCACATAATGACAAGAACAGAAAACTTGAAATCTAGAGATGAGGTTTGGGGTTTAGCCCCCTTCCACCCCGAATATGTGTGATTTTTATCTAAGACCCTAAGTTTCTTCTGAGGCTGTGTCTCTTCATGCCAAAACTAAGATTAATATGTCCACCTCACTTTCCAAAGATGTGATTTTAAAGGTCAATTATATATAAACACAAAGTGGAGTATCGTGTCTAAATGTATAATAACAACAGTAATGCTGACCAAAATATAAAGTGAAAAGGTCACTGAGAGAAAAATTATAGGTCCCCATGATTCTAGCTAAAGGAAAACACATGTTTAGGCAAAGGTATGTTTAGTATATAGTGACAGAGTATCATAAAGTAGGCAATCACCCTGCTGTAAGAAGCAGACCAACCAACCACAGGAAAATATTTAAAAACAAGCAAGTCTGCAAGTGAAGATTTTGCAACCTTCAGAATCATCAACATGGCTGGGGAGACAGCGTCATCGCTAAAATGTTAGCTGTGCAAACAGGAGGACCTGGGTTTGGATCCCCAGCACACACATGTGAAGACTGAGTGCGGCAACATGGGCCTGTAATCCCAAGGGTGGGAAGCTAGAGCCAAGAGGATCACTATGACTCACCAGTCAGTCATTCTGGCAGAATCAGTGAGTTCCAGCTCCAGTGAGGGCACCGATTCAAAGAATATGGTGGAAAATTATTCTGGAAAGTCTAGAGCGACAAACTTTGGCTTCTTCACATGTACACCCACGTACACGCGTGTTGGCATGCCCATGTTCTTGCTTCCTTGTTCCTTCCTTGCTACTGACAGAGGTAACGGACTCTGGAGTTCACACGCTGTGGGGCGGCAGAGCATATTTCTTGCTCTGAAAGTTTACACAAACCTTTATTGTTTTACAGGCAAGAACACGAAGATAAAAAGAAGAGAAAAAAGAGCCAATCTCCCCCTACCCCCCCCCAAACACACACTAATATGCTTGAGGATTCCCCAGTCCATTTTGACACATGTGGTGTCAGCTCATTCTAGCCCCGCTGCTAAACGGGAAAACAAAGGCTACGTATTTTGATCACCGTTACTATTGCTATTACTTAGGAGACAATCAGGCTCCATGTGAAGAGTGCACTGAACACCGAAGAGGCACCCTGAAGATTCCCCCTGCCCATTCAACCAGGAGATGACTTTTATGTACTATCATGAAAACCATGGGCGGAAAAGTTTCTGATATGAATGCAATTTGGATGGGAAAACACTAAGGCAGGAGAAAAAGAACGGCTGGAATCTGGTTAAATCTGCCTCTCTCTGTTGGCCTTTGATCTTGCTGAACTGAACATTTCAAAAAGGAAACAGAGCAGCAATGAATTCTATGGCTCCGGAAAAAAAAAAAAAACTGCTCCAGATACATTTTGCAACTGTAAATGGTTGTGAGAAAAACACGGTGATTGCAACAAAGTGGCATACAACCGCACAACGAGCTGGTTCTGGAAATCAGTGTGAGGAGCCAAATGCCTGTTATGGTCACTTATAACACCGCCTGAAAATCTGCAGCATCCAGTAGGTATCAGCTGGCCTGTTATTTTCTAGCCTGGGGTCCCCAGCAGCCCCTCAACATGGCTCCAGGAGCCAGTGCTGGCCCCTTAGTACTCAATTCCAAAAACAGCCTACATGAGCTCTTTCTGAGCCATGGAGGGTCCCGACCCCAGTTGCCCTGCACTGAACTGTTTGTGAATGTCCATCCTCCCCCTGCCTGGATTGCAATAACTCCGTGGAAGAAATGAGCAAGGAGATCAGCAGGTCATAGGTTCTTTCAGTTTCCAATCTTATGAGCAGTGAGGGAACCACAGTGCAAATACTGGTAAACTGAGGCAGACAGGTAAGGAAAAGCAGGAAATAACTAGAGCAATTTAGTTTCTTTAAATTTCTTCACTAAATACATGAATGTGTTTATGTATTAACTGACATCTCTCCAGCAATCTCTGGTCCATTCCCATAGAAGCGGCCAGACACCAAGCACTATTTGAATGCAAAGTGAGAATCTGAAGGCTCCCTCTCCTGATGCAGAACACATCAAAACACAGTCTATTAAAGACTCAGACTTCTAACTCGGGCAGATGGAGTTCAAGTCCAGATCAGCAGCTTCCTGTGGATGGTGCCTTCCTAAACTTTCTGACTTGTTAGTTCCCTGAGCTCTGCTAGAAAAATAGCAATATTTATCACATCTGTTAAAGTGAATGACGTCTCACACACACAAAGCTCCTCACACCGTCTGACTCAAACAGCCACTAAGAGATAGAGAAGCCTGGTCGGGGAGCTAGTTCAGTCTGTAAAATGCTGGCCTTACAAGCATGAGTTCAAGTTTGGAACTGTTGTGAATAAGTCAGTCACCATGGTGGAAGCCCCTATACCAGGACACAGGCAGACACACCCAGGCTCAGCTAGAGTACTCAGCACATTCTACAGGTGTCTGTGAACAACAGCGCAGGCTGCCTTCTAGCATTCCGTTTCCTACAAACATATATACATAGGCACGTGGACACAGGCACAAACACACATACATATACACACAGATAAACATTCATACACAGACAAAATAAAACTAGAATATTTACTTATAAGGTGTAGAAGTGGAGGAATCTGGTTCCGTGGAAATTTGATTATGAGCCTGTTTGTGGGCTGTCTGTGCATTAAAATTCAGTAGCATTCGTATGTATTAAAATGTTTTGGCTCAGGTCTGGGCAGACAGTGTAATTGTTAAGAGCATGTACTGCTTTTTCAGAGAACCCACATTCAGTTCCCAGAATCCATATTTTAACTCCATCTCCAGGGGATCCAAATCCAACATGCCCTTCTGGACTCCATGGGCACCTGCATTTAAAGGACACAGACAAACACACACACACACACACACACACACACACACACAGAGTTACACAAAAATAAACCATTTTGGCCTAAAACTGGCAGGAAATATAGTCTAGTGCTTCACCAATTAATTGAAACAACAGAAGGGTTTGTGTATGTGTGTGAGTGTGTGTCTGTATGTGTGTTCATGTACATGTTTATATGTTATGTGTACATGCAAGTGTGTGTGCATGTGTATTTGCATGTATATATGTGCATATACATGTATATATGTGCATGCACATTTCTGTGTATACATATGTGTGTGCATATTTGTATGTATATATGTGTGTGCAAGCATATTTGTGAATACATGCTTATTTTTATGATTATGCATATATGTAAGTAGGTGTTTGTATGTAAGCATGTATGTGCATGTTTTTGTGTATTTGCATGCATATTTGTATATGTATAGGTGTCCCTATGTGTATGTATTTATGTGTGTGCTATTTGTGTGCAATTCAATGAAAGTTGCAAAGGAAAGACACCTTGTTTTCTAGAACCAAAGTGGGGAAATGAGGTGGAAAACTTTGCAGTTATGGTTTCCCTTTCTCTGTGCTTTTAGCCACATCCAGGAAGAAGTCACTGCCGACAGGCATTACCTGGGCATGTAACACAGAGTTCATCTTCATCAATGGAAGCGATGCTACTGAAATTCTGGTGATTTTCCTCCCGAGCTGACAACATGGTAATTTATATTCTGCACAGCGTAACCAAAGAGCTTGTTATGCAAACACAGGCCACTGATTTGACAAATCTCCTGGAAACAGAATTAATGTCTGTATTCTGTGCAAAGATGTAATTTATTTTAATATTTTAAAGAGATAATATCTAGCTGTCTATATGTATTCAGAGAAGGAGCTATAGGCACACATAGATATATGTGTATTTTAATGGAAGCAAGCTTGGGGGCTGGGGCAGGGGAGCTGCTGCATAGGAGGTTGAGGTACTTACTACAAGCGAAGAAGTACTGGTGGTTAAGCCTGTATCTCTCTCTTGCCTGTTTCGTTTTCTACCCATGGTGATCATGTAAATATTATTCTTTTGTGAAAATGCTTTATTTATGGTGCTGGAGCAAGGAATGCTTTTCATGGTAATTGAGGATATTTTAATGGTGGTAACTTGAGCTCTACCCAACTACAGAAAAAGTTTTAATTGGGTGGAAGCTCCAGTGGTTAGTTCTTAAACATGGGATTTTCTTTCTTAAAAGGGAAATTTTCAACACAGAATGAAGCAGTGTTAGCCTGCTACGTGGAGTAGAATGGGCTGTCGGTGGCCAGTAGAATCCTGACAACCATGCTAGAAAGTAAGAACAACAGAATCCAGGGGTCCGTGCTCCAAAGGAATATATCATAACCATCTACCTTGAAAAAAGATGCAGTCCCTCTTTAAGGAAAGCAGTCTGGATCCTGGAATGAGGCTCTCGCACCTCCATATACTTCCCACTCCCATCTTAAGACAGTTACTTAAGAAATTAAACCACTCCATCCCGTCTCCCGGGGTCCTGAGTCTGATCACTTCCTCCTCCCTCCTGGGAACCCTGTTGAGAGAAACCTCATCAAATCTGCCACATCTGTTGTTGATTCCTAGCTAAGGATCTAAACAAACAAAAAAAATCAATGCTCTGTGGCCAAAGGGAAGCAGTTTGCTGTTTTCTTTGTTAATGCCATGTCAGGAGATGTCATCAGGAAGCGAGGCTGGTTCAGATCATATCCATTTACGATTGGCAGGTGAGACTGGCAGGATGGTCCCACGTGGAAGGAACTGTGGGTGGTGGACAGTAGACATCCTGAGCTTTGTCCTATCCTCCTAACAGGAGAACCCGCCCTCCCCACTACATGGTGGCATTGATCGCAAGTGTCAGTCAACATGCTATGCCAGACGCACTTCCATCTGGAATCTACATATTCTGTTCAGGTGCGCTTAGGAAACAGCCTTGAGTACCTCACTTTATGCCGTATTGCCCGATCCTAGACCCTTGTCTGTTGCTCCATGGACCTCTTCATTAACAAAATTCAGACATGTACAGTTAGCAGAAGCTTATGTTCCCCAGATGCCAGCTACTGCATGTCTTATCAATGACCAGGAAGTCCTGGAGTTCCCACCCAAACTGGTTCTGGTGGCTGTTGTGACCCTAGGCAGGTTGGTTAGAGCCCAAGGCCAGCCTGGTCTGTTCCTCTCAGGCTTGCCCACACTTTCCTTCTCTGTTAGATACAGAGATGGTAAATGCCTCTTCCTTTCTACTCCTTCAATCCTCATTACTTCCGCCCACCAGTCATACCTCCTTCACTCTGGTTGACTCCTTCTTTACCCACCTCTCCAGCTTCCCTAGGAGGCTTAGGAGTAGCGAGTGTTCAGTTTAGTTATATCCTCAACACCCAGACCAGCAAACAACCATAGCCTCCGTCAATAAGCATCAGAGAATACAGGGATAAATTCAAAGAAGAAAGGAAATACAATCAGATATGTCCCCTTGACACCACTGATTTTTTTTTCTGGGCATGGTGAATAGAGAGGAAGCCTGTGCATATAAAACTGGCTATACTTGAGTTCTTTTGCTGCAGAATTTGGTAGCTCTTCCCTATACTATTGAAAACCAGGAATATTAATTTAAGCAAAGTACAGGCCTGGATTTGAAAACAATTTGAAACCAATCAATTAAAACCACACAGAAGCACTCACTCCTTTTTAACCCTTTCTGGCTACGAAATGCAATTCATATGACTGTGGTTGTAAAATACTTAGGATGAAAACGTTTCCGGCTATAACTCTGTCCCTGTGATGTAAATGTCCTGGGTTCTAATAGCTGGAAGATAGTTCACTGTCTACAAAGAAAATCCCTGCAGAGATCAACTCCACGCTGAGCTGAGGGGTATGATTAATAACTAAATGGCCCCATGCTCTCCGGAATGGAAGGTGTACTCTAATTCAATAGCATTCACAGGATCCCTGGAAGCAGCCCAGGATTCGACCATTCACACACAGCCATGCAGCAACAGAAGGTGTGGAATCTTTGTTCAAAATGGGTTATTTTCCCACCCCCGCTGTCTTCTACCCTAGAGCTATAAACCTTGTGTACAAGGGACTGACACTACAGACATTTACCCAGAATAGAAGCAGAACTCCAAATTGGACTAGCAAGGTGCGTAACTGAAGGCAGAAGTAAAGAAGGCAGGCAAGAGCAAGGACCCAATACAACTTAGATGAAGGAAAGCACAGAGATTTTTTCTTCTCAAAGTAGTAACAACAACAACAAAAAATCCCCTTCAGGTTGAAAAAATGAGGTAGAATTTGCCATGCAAGAGGGCTTTCAAATAGACAGTTTTTATCTTGACAGTGGTCTCTTCTTAACATATATTTACTTTCTAATTACCCAGAGCTGTGTAATTAACCTGTCACTAGACAGCGCTTGCCACACTAATGAATGGATAAGAATTCTGAGTATTAATAACCAGCCAGTGGAGGTGAGGCGATCTTTGCTCCGATGACTCACTTGGCTCATCTTGTGCGTGGCTGTGTCTTCCTTGTGCCTGTGTTTCCTCTGCTGAGGCGTCAACCAGAAAGAAATTCCCATTTTTCTTGTAAGGATAGTCTAAGACGAAACAGACTCCTTGGGTAGAATAGAACTCATGAGGAGGGATTGATGGGATGGTAGCTCAGATGGACCCTGGAGTGCTCACTGGTCACTGTGAATGGCAAAGAAGGATGCATTCAGCAATGCAGCCAATGGTGGGGGCTAGAATTGTGCGTAATTCTCTAGGGGTACAAGAGTGCTGAGCAAAGAACCAGCCCGATTGAACCACAGTCAGGTAACTGTCGCTTATTAGCCTTATTATTTATATTCTGGGCTTTTGGTGTGCTTGGGATTTTGGCTTTATTTAAATTTTAAATTTTTTATTCTTTGGCAGCGCCATACATGGAATTTAATGACTTTGGTTGACTCACACTCTCCCCCATTATCCTCCCTCTTTCTCCCGCTGGAATCGTTTTTGGTTTAGTTCTGCTTTTAAGATAAGTTGTCCTATAGCCAAAGATGTCTTCAAACAAGGAGCTCATGGAATCGAGAAGCGCATTGAAATTCTCACCCTCCTGCATCCACCTCCCCTGTGGTTAGATTACAGATCTATACAACCGCGCCTAATTCATGTGGTGCTGGGGATTGGACCCAGGGCTTTACACACACACTCTGTGTCTTGGTCAGTGTTCTATGGTTGTGAAGAGACGCCATGACCATGGTATCTCGTAAAAAGGAAAACATTTATTTGGGGCTTGCTCAGTTTCAGAGGTTCGGTCCATTGTCATCATGGTGGGGAGCAAGATGTTGGGAAGGCTATGAGACAATGCACATACAGGGACCCAAGGCACACACTCACTACTATGCCAGCAAGACCTGACTCCCTGTAGATTGTTGGGCTACCACTACAGTCACCTCTCCTGTGAGCTCTGGAACAGCTCAGGGAAGGGTATGGCAGAATACACAGACAGGTAGAATTAGAAAGCAGTCCTAGGGACTACAGGGAGAGGAAGGAAAGCAGAGAAGCTCAAGCAATCAATATAGAGTCAACCTTTTGTGTGTTCACATTTTCAATTAAGGGGCATGGGTCTTGGTTCCATGCCTGGTGCAGACCTCCCATCATGACTTAGGGTAGATGAATTGTAAACTGCCCTAAACTTCTTCCTCACTTGCCCAATGAGCCTAGTCATGCCAGAGTTTACTGTTCATTATAAGGGTGCCGTCAGATAAACCGTGGCCTGATGCATTTATTTTATAGCATACATCATTTAATCAACAGAAGATTCACCACCCTCAGCCTTGCTAGAACTGCTTTGTTTCAACACACACATATACATATGCGCGCGCGCACACACACACACACACACACACAGAGAGAGAGAGAGAGAGAGAGAACTTCAGAATATATTTAGATGCTTATCACTGCACACAACAAAATGTGGGAATACTCCATATATTCAACTGCATTCAACAGTTAATTACTAAGTTTCAAAGATGCATTCATTAGCATACATTTACTGCACAATGTGATGTATTTCCTAATGCCTTCATTCAGCTGTATCACAAACCTTGACCATCCTCTGCTACCTACTCCTATTTCTCTCCTACTAGTCCTTTCTTCCCGAATAATCCTCCTGTTTCTATGCCATGCATAAGATGTAGGTGTCACATACTAGAGAAATCATGCAGGATCTGTCCTTCTGAGCCTGGTCTATTTTGTTTAATATGATGATCTCAGCTGCTACCCCTTTTCCTACAAATGACATAGCTTTGTTTTTCTGAACAGAACTCTACTGTGTGTCTATACCACCCACCCCATTGTTGTTTGAACTTTCTGGAAAAAAAATAAGAAGCGCTGGAATCCTATGGAGAACTGCAGTCAAGAAGTCGGTAATATTTAATAACATTAGCATTCTGTTTCTAGGCATGGGGTGTCTCCTCAGCAGGGCTATCCCCTTGATGGCCAGTGAAGTAAAGTTCTTACTTTATCACCTGAACAGTGGAAATATCCTCTAGCACACCATCCAGGCCAAGTTTTCCTGTCTCTTTCATGAGAAATTAGGGCACAAGCAGGGACAAGAAATGGGGAAAGCCCCGCCCTAGCTCTAAAACTTGTTCAGGACTCTGGGACATATTTGCTGTCTGGATGACCATTTGTACCACTGCAGCTGGCCTTCCAATCATCCCACACAAAGGCAGTAGAACCCAGTGTACTCAATTTCTGGTGAGTATCAGCACGTTAGGAAGGTATCATGAAAGAAAAGCGACGAGGAAGGTCCTATAGAGATGAGCCCCTAAAGGTAACCGTGCAAAAGGCATTCTACAGATAGAGGGAAACCCTTAACAGATTGAGTGAGGGGCCGGTGCTCATCTCTAGGAACTTTCTACCAGTGGGCAAATGCTGCAGGTTGGCTCCTGGGGCTTCCGTAGCTTTCCTGACTCCTAAGCTCTAAGAGTCCCAGAAGAACACCCAGTGGGCTGTTGGCACCAGAAGGAGGCCTGTTCTCGCACAGTGGTGGGGCAGTTCACTCCCTTGAAGTTCTCTGAAGCCCTTCTGTCCCTGTCCTCACCACACATAGATGTCTCTTACCTTCTATGGCGGTTTAACAAGAATGGCCCTCATCGGCTCATGTAGTGGAATGCTTGGTCCTTAGTTGATGAAGCTGTTAGAAAAAGGTTAGGAGGCATGGCTTTGTTGGAAGAGATACAACATTGTGGGTGGGATTTGAGGTTTCAAAAGCCCAAGCCATTCCCAGTCTCTTTTTGCCTGATGCTTATGGAGGAGACATAAGCTCACAGCTGATGCTCCAGTGCCTGTCTTCCTGCCACTGGTCACTCTGCTCCCTGCTGTGATGGTCAGGGACTCAGCCTCTGAAACTATGAGCAAGTTCCTAATTAAATGCCTACTTTCATAAGTTGCCTTGGTCATATGGTGTGTCTTCACAGCAATAGAACAGTAAGCAAAACGCCTGCTTTTAGCTACCACACCATCATCCATGCCATGTCATGAAAGCCCCTGGTTTCCCAAAACATTCAGTTTCCCTTCCTTCATCACTTCCTGTCTGTCTCTCCTTAAGTTCCCCAGCGCAGACCCATTCTCTGCTAATTCCAAATCCCTCTCGAGGAGGTGTCACATCTGAAAAAGCCCTGATAAATTAATCCCCGCTAAAATGTCCCAGCAGAAACTGACAGTGCCTTAATGTGCTTTTAGCTTAATGCAGTTTCCACTCTCCCCAGGGCATTTGCTTGTCATGAGGGGATTCCTTAAGAAGCAGCAGATGGTCCTCCAAGAAGGAAACGAAGCTGTCTTGTGTACCATACCAGAAAAGGTGAGCAAGAAGGCATGCAGGGACTTCCAAGGTCACCACATGTAGCTGAGAATCAATCACATTCCTCAGATGTGTGGTGTGAGATTACGCTGATGGCAAACCTATTAAGTTCTCATAGATTGAGAAGTATTAGTGGTGAGTTTTTTCTTTTATTTAACAATTAAGTTTATATGGTGTTCCAGGGGGTAGAATATAGGTGGATTTTATACTTGAGATGGAAAACAAGTGAATTCTCATGGCATCCCTTCTAGAGCAAAGAATCACATGGCAAATATCTTCCCTATAAAGGAGACACAGAGTCATTTAATCAAAAATGCCCCTCACTCTAACATGGCCTCGATTAGCACCCAATACTAGACAGGAAGCCCTTTGATGGAGAACGGCCAACACTTGTCATGGACACATTCACTGGGCATGCAGAGAAGTAAAATGCCAGGGAGCTACTGTGTGGGGGAGCAAAGAGAGGAGCAAAGGGCCCAGACTCTGAGAAGAAAAGAGACATTAATGAGCAAAAACCAGGTGACAGAGTGGCTCGCAGGGCATGCATTACCCGTGTGCCCATCATCAGACAGCTCTTTTACCGCAGTGCCCTTTTGGCTTCCATGGGCAGTACAATCCTCTTTGATTGCAAACATTAAGCTCTCTTCCCAGTCACCTGCTTAGAGGGGGCTCCACGTTCCAAGGTAGTCTCAACTTCAAATGGCAATTTGATGATGATTGTCTCTTGACTTTACGGCAGGGTATTAGCTGACCAGATTTTATAGTAATGGGTCTTAATTGTGGGTTGAGAAAAGATGCTCAGGAAGCTTCACTAGCCTTATGGTAGACTTGTTTCTTGGGCAGCACATAGTATTTGCAAGGAAGGTCGACTCCCCACCAACCTTTTCCTCCCCCAGCTAATTTTATAGAGGACAGACATTCAGAAGCACAATGCGTCCCACACTGCTACAGCAGAAGCAAATGTGCTCAGGACCCTTGCTCTTCTCAAATCCTCCCTCCCTTCCCAGTCATTGCTCACCACTGAATTTCCCCCAAAGACTTTGTCTGAGGAAGTCCCTTCCCAGTGCATGCCTCCCTGTTACAAGCTCCCAGCTTCTTGCCCAAGCTCATTAGATTCAACCCAAGTCCACATTCTCCGCTATGCCATCCCTCCCTGTTTCCCCAGCAGGAGAATTGGAGGTGACCTTTAAATGTCGCTTGCAAATGCCAGCTGATGCTAACTGGCTGCACAGGCAGAGTTTTCCCCAAAGCTAACCGGATAGCAAAACCCAGGCACAGGCAGGGGAAGGCTGGCTTCTGAGGACAGATCAGTGGCTGAAGTGAGGGCATAGCAGTAAGTTTCGCCAGAAAACCCCAGGTTCCCCAGCCAGACTCTTATTGTGTTGGGATGCCATGTCTGTTATTAGACAGTGACGAGGAACCCTTCACCCTTCAATGACTCCTGGGAGTCAACCCAGGTCTCAAGCTTCTTTCAGGAATTCTAAAAAGCGCTTGCTTAACCTTGAGATATATAGAATGAACAAACGGTAGGAAGGCAAGAGTAACTCACACAGTAGCCTTGAAAGCCAAGAACCATTTCTGTGTTAAAGATCTGGCCACACATGCTCAAGGTAATTGATTGCATCATCTACCCAGATAATAAGAAGTGAACCCCAAATTTAATACAGTGCTGCCCAATTCCAGAGCAATTTTCGGTGGACCGTCCTACATCCTGAATTTTCCTTCTTCCCTATCCCACCGGAGATGTCTCTAACCTCCCCTGGAGTTTTTTCCGAGGCTCTGATTTAGTTCAGCAATTATTTACTCATCAATTAACATCCCCCTGCTCTACTGCCTGAGGACTGTATTTCCCATTACCCAGCTTTATGTGTTTGCCAGAACAAATTGCCTGAAGGGAGAATGAGAGGGAAGAGAAAGCACCTTCTCTCCAGAGACACCCCATCACCAGGACAGAGTTACCCAGGGCTCTGGAAGACTTGAGTCCTGCTCTTTCCTCGTCTAGAAAGTAGAGGCATAGGACCCAGTATGGTATCCTAAAGAAAGCCCAGCAAGAGTGATAAAGATGTAGCATAGAGGAGTTGGAGAATAGCAGAGAGCCTGACCAATGTGATCCCTGGGGCCAGATTCTGGTCCCTTACATTCTGTGGTGTGTGTGTGTGAGTGTGTGCGTGTGTGTGTGTGTGTGTGTGTGTGTAGATTCTCATTGTGTGCATGCACATGGGGATGCATGTATATATACAAACATAAATAAGTCTGTGTAAAGGTGTTAAGACCAGAGGTGTTCTCTTCTATTATTCTCTACCTTATATTTTTCTTTTATGAGACAATGTCTCTCACTGAATCTGACACTCAGCAACTGTCTACACTGGCTGGCCAGTTAGCCCCAGACTCCTTCTGTTTCCAGTACCTTAGCACTAGAATTGGAGAATCGGGCTCTTTAAAACACTTGTGATAGAGACCCAAGCTCCAGTCTTTGTGCTTGTATGGGAAGGATGTTGCCTACTGAGTCACCTCCTAGCTCTCTATTTTGTGCCTGTTTTAAGTGTCCAAGTGACTCAGCGAGTGTCGTACTGACATCAGTTGATGACAGTGTGGTGTGCTGCAGAACTCCATAGCTCACCAGGCATGTCACAAATAGGCACTGGAGAGTTCTCTGGTGACCCAAGAAGAACACTGGGCTGCAAACCAGACACCTCATCCTTGCCTCTTCTGGAACAATCGCATGAAAGAGTTCTTAAACAACAACAACAAAAAATGCATAGCTCATGAGGAAACCCATCCCTCGAGATGGTGTAAAGCATACCCCAGCATTCTGTGAGCCATCGGTCTTTTCAAAGGGTCATGCACAAAACAGAGTTCTTATAATCAGATTCCTAATTTACAAATGATGAGAGGAATCAGACTGGACTCTGCAATTCTCACATTGACCAGGATTTTATAAGTGATTTTTTTGCATTTAGTTGTCAGTTGATCCTTTCGTGCATTAAGTCATCTGCTCATTAATCAGAATCCAGGGGCCTCTCGTTGAGTATTTGGTCCTTTGGGGAATGATAAGGTGAAAAATATCGGCCATGGCACCAAGAAATCCACGGTCCATCTTGTCAAGGACAATAGTGAAAGTGCCAGAAACTTCCCGCTCAGATCAGTCTAGATATAAGGTACTGCCACCTCAGAAACTCCTGGGATCTGCCAGAAGACAAAACCAAAACACATCCCTGGGTCCACTCCTGTCACATCTACCTTTGACATCCTTTCATAAGCTTTGAGTTTTTTCCTCATATAACATAAAGATCCTTCATTAAGAAATTTTCTATAGACTCATCCTTACCAGTAATGCAGATCTCAATACCAGAAAACTTCTCAAATTAAGGAGAAAATAAAAAATAAATCATAGGGAAATATTTTTATTTCTATTATTTTTAAGTCTATACTGTAACACTATTTATCCCTTCCCTCCTTCCAAATCCTCCCATATATCTTTCTCTACCCTATTTCAAATCCATGGCCTCTTTTTCATTAATTGTAATTACATGCATATATATATATATGTAAATGTGTGTAATATTTAATATACATATTCTAAATAAAACCTGTTCGGTCTGTATAAATGCTACTTGCATGTGTGTTTTCAGGGCTGACCTTTTGGTATTTGATAGCCAATTGGTGTGCTGTTTCCAGGAGGAGACTAGTTAGTCTGTTCCTAGAATTCCTTAGTTGTCTTCAGCTTTAACTGCAGGGTTGCAACCTCACAGGTTTTTCCCCATCCACTTCGGAATGTCTATGGTTGTTGTCCCTGTTTAGGTTATGTTTAAGCTGTCAGATTTCATGGACATCACTTCTGATATTCCTAGAATATGCAGTCTCATAGCAAACTCCCTGATCCTCTGGCTCCTACAACCTCCTACGGTGTTTGGGGATAATATTTTGGTGAACAAATATTAGGGTTTTAGTAGAGTGTGGGGGTAAGCAAGCTAGAAGCTCCTCTTGTCTCTGCTCATCCAGAGTCACAAAGACGAGTTTCCAGAAACCTGTCCATACTCAGGTATGACTCTGAGAATTCTGATGCCCTGGAACTGGGTGTGCCAGAAACACAGTAAGGAGGTGAGGAGAGATGCAGTATATTCAAAACATGTTCCGGAAGATTAGCACATTCTGGTCTCACAAAATAAGTCAGAAAGCTTGAGTTTAAAAGTGGTTGACATGGTTCCCATGATAACCCTTTTGCTGTTTCTTCATGGTGGCTCTGTGCATGGCATTCTGTGCTTTTTTCCCCAGCCCATCTAAGTGGGACATGGAAACACACAAAGGGATCTAGTCTAGTTTTCCCAGGAAGTAAGTCTATTACCAGAAAGCATGCATGAACGGGGCAACCAAGAGAAGAATGAAAGAGCTGACCCTGTAAAAAGGAGGAAAAGGAGAAGAAAAAAGGCGAGTTTTAAAAATGGGGGAAACAAGAGAAGAAATAGGATACAGAAAAAAATAAACAAAGACCAAAAGGTATTCATCTGAGATAGGTCTTGGCCCAAGAAGGCAAGAACAAGCCAGGGCAGAATAAAAGAGGAAACCTCACTGTCCACTGGACTGAGGTAAATGGTGGGAGGTAAAAACGGTTAATAAGTGAGGTTTTAGAAAACTGTGAGGTGTAAGAAAGAACATTTTATATTGATTGAATAATTTGGAAGCCCTTAGCCCAGTGCTTTATAATGCGGAAGTATGCTTTCCTTAGATGCTGTCGAAAGAATTCAAGGATGCAAGGAGCAAACACATAAAAATCCATCTTTAGGCTGATGACTCAATCAGGAAATATCCTGTCTCCTTGGTTATTAAAGGAGAAAGGTATAATACATTTACTCATCCTAATCTGAAAGTAAAAATGAGAAAAAAAATAGGAACATATTTTACTCTTGGGAATGGAGAACTGTCTATCTGATATCTATTTTTCTCCACTGATAATTTTATTCCGTGTGTTTTCCTACCAAAGAGGTTCCTTCCCATTCTCTGTCTACGAGCTAGTAGGTGAGGTTGGTGCTATCCCAGAGTTGATGGAGCACTTGATCTTTCTCAAACCAGTCAGCTCTTCAGACACATGAACTCACTAAGCCAGCCAGCGCAGTTCTAAGGGCTTCTATGGTTCCTCCAGGAACATGGGTAACACAATGACAGCTGCCCTCCTGAAAAGTCCACCTAACATGGCTGAGAACTCCTGAAAGCTGCATTCTCTAGTGCTCCCTGCATGACTTGCAAGTGTTGGCAGAGGTCACTAGTTCGTTTCCCAACCACCCTGACTCAAAATAATCACATAGAAATGATATTATTTGCAATACTGTTTGGCCAATGACTTAAATATATTTTTAGCTAGGTCTTATATCCTAAACTAACTCATCTCCATTAATCTGTGTATTGCCATATGACTGTGGCTTACCAGGTGAAGTTCCATCCAGCATCCAGCGTCTGTCTCCAGTGGGGCTACATGGCTTCTTGCTCACTCTGCCTACTCTCTCTTCCTCTATCTGCTTGGAACTCCTGCCTTGCCCTATTCTGCTAAGCCACTGGTCAAAACAGCTTTATTCATTAACCAATAAAAGCAAAATATGGAAGGACTTTCCATATCATGGAAACACCTTGCCTTCTGATATGTTAAGGAACACCCAGCAACTGTTACTTACCTCTTATATAATTACAAAGAAGGCCAGTCTAGTTATGTAAATTTCAGGAACTCCCTGTGTCTTGTAAGTGGCATTTACTTCTCATTCTTCACCAGCCTCCTTCTAACATGAGATATTTAATTCAGAAGAAATAACCACACCACACTGTTAGTAGTGTACTACATAGTGTCTTACCTAGTTCTCCCAGGAAGAAAAGTCAGTTGGTCAAGAATTCTGATTTACAAGTGAGTCAGCAATGATGTGTATTGTACCCCCTAAAGTGTGACTATGATCAAACCATCGAGCCTTCCTGGGCCTCCCTTTCCCCTTCTCTACATAGAGAATGGAGCCTTCCTCCCTATCGTACTTGGTTGGTTCCCAAAATGGGGTAATATTGACATTATGTGGAAAACTAGGAATCTCTTCCTAAGGATGCACCAGCCTTAAGACTCTTGGAGGTAATAAACAAACAAACAAATAAACGAGTTGGTGGCATAATCACAGCTAAATTGGAAATGCTGGCATTATCCAGAACAAGCTATCTATGCGGAGAAGCTGAGAGTCCTCGCACGCACAAAATCATATTTCCCCAGGCATAGGATTAATTAAAACTATCAAGTGTTCCCAGCTTTTTGAAATTAACTTTGAAAGTGTTTGGTGTGAAGGGATAAAGAGGGGGGCGGGGAAGCAGCTGAAGGGTGGGGCTGCTGGGAGGGAGGCCTGCTGTGGAAGGGAAGCACAGGCCAGAGCTAAGTATGTTCACTTTATTCTCAGGAGGAAAGAGGGGATAAAAGAAAAGTATAAGAATTCATTGGGAAAAGATAGAAAGGCAGAGACAGCATTGCACTCGCTCTGTCCCTATCAGGCCATATCAGTTCTCCGTCTTAATTAACATGGCCTCAAGGCTCATATGAGATGCCAGAGCAAATGGAACACAGGTAGACAGACACTCTACTGGGTGCATATGTCTTGTTTCCCAAAGGGTTATGTGCTGGAGGATTGGTCCTCAATGTAATAGTGTTGAAAGTTGGGGCAAACTTTCAGAGGTGAAGAGATGATTGGGAACACCGTCCTTGGAAGGAGTTAATGCCCCAACCTGAAGAGCATCTTGGATTTCAGATGGATGCTTTCATCTGAGCTGCAGCTTGGTTTTCATGGGCCTAAGGAGGTTACAGCAAGAGTGGATGGTCACTATATAGGTTCAGCATTCCCAATTCTTCCTCTTTGTTATCATCTCTGTGTGTGTATGTGTGTGTGCATGTGTGTGTTTGTGTGTGTGTGTGCGCGCGCGCAGGCACACACTTGTGCACTTGTACACAGGACCACTTGTGTGTAGGTGAAAGGCAGAGATGATCCTTAAGTATCTTCCTTGGTCGCTAGACATCGTTTTTAGAGATTGGGTCTCTCACTTGTCAATTTGGCTAGTTTAAATGGCCGATCTTCCCAAAGACTCATGTCTCTCCTTCCTCAGCACTGGGATTACAAGCACATGCCACCACATTCACTTTTTACTTTGTTTTGTTGATGCTGTTGTCTGTCTGTCTGTCTGACTGACCAAGTATCAAACTAGGTCCTCATACATGCAAGACAAGCAAGCATTTTACTAACTGAACCATCTCCTCAGACCTTTTGCGATCTCATTTGCTGTATTGTTTCTCCTTGCCCAGACCTCACCATGGGATGACATCCACCATGAGATCCTCTCCAAAGACCAATAAGAGCCCCATGTTTCTGAACCTTCTGAACTGGGTGTTAAATAGACCTATTTTCTTTACAAATTTCCCAGTCTTAGGTGTTCTATATTAGCAACAGAAATCAGAGTCAGACAATGAGAGAGAGAAACTGTTAAAGGAAGATTTGATGGTACAGCCCTTCTCTCTCCCCGTCTTGCCTTTGCTTCTATTTAGCCTCTCTTCCTTCGGTCTCTTGTGAGTAAAACCACTTCTGGCACTCCTTCGAGCTATTGGACAGATGGTCACATTAGGAACAGAAGTAGCGGTGAAGGAGTCTGGAGTCTAGTTCTCACTCCACCATTTATTAACTGTGGGATCTCAGCTAAGTAATTCATCTCCTCCTGAAACTCTTTCTCTTTTTCTGTAAAGTGCCATAGAGGAGGGGAGTTTCTTTGTCAGGAAGGACAAATGGTATTCTAGAGGTAAGTCAGAACACACAAGATCTGCCACAAAGCCCCAGACTCCCAATACAGCCTCTGCATCCCAAATTCACTGAGACCCCTTTAAGCCAGCGAAGAGACTTAAAGCCCTGGTGGTGGTGGAACAAAGGACGTTCTTATTATCAGGATTCTACTTTGTCTTGGCAGGGAAATGCACTTTGTCTTTTACATCCAGTGATACAAACTCACAAAAGCATAGCCAGTTTCCAGCCATGCTCAAAATCTCCTCCCAATTCCTGCGCATCATCTGCTTCTGCCCTTAGCCCCTGCAGGTCTCAGAAGGAAGTGCTGCAGCCGTCTAGAACGGTCTCGACCATGTCTCCCATCTCCGAATCTCAGGCATGGCCTGTAGAGTCTATCTAGTGAAACTAAGGGGTCTGCTTCTTCATGTATGCCAACTTCCTGCTCCCCTTTCCAGCCACACTTGGGGGTTACCAAACACGATGATGCCTTTCTCTTTAATTCCCATCAGAACCAAAACTAGAGTCAACTTTGTCCCCTCTCCTTCATTCAGCCATGTGCTTCGGGATTAAACCCCCATCTTCATTCACAGGGACAAGAGCTTTAATTTGGTTGTTCTAAGCCTACTGCGGCAGTCCTTCTCTTTGTCAACGGTTGGGCCACTGAGCTTGTTAACTCTGACTAGGGAGAGATTAAGAGATGTTTGTTCCTGGTTCCTGCGCAAAATACAAGAAGCGCTTTTTCTGTCCCTGGATGTCACAGGTAGGAATGCCCAATTAGAGTCAACTGGCAAGAATTAACTCTCGTATGAGGACACCCTGAAACAGCAACTGAGCATTTGGCACAATTAAACCGCTGAGCTAACAAGCTTGTGAGCCACCCCACCTTGGGACCACACTGTATGAGGTATTTTATTTTTAAGCTCATTCATACTGAAAGAGTTTTTTTTCCCCCTCCCTTGTACCCTACTGTGTTTTTAGCAGATCACCGGTTCCCACAATTTTGCAGTCCATCTCTGCTTGTGACCTTATCACTGGGTAGTTGGAGACACTGCAGCAGATAGATATTATTGGATGTTCTGATAATAGCTGCTGGGAAGATAGTTACCAGGACCCGCTCATCGGGTGCAGCTCTCAAGGGCATTCTACATATGGTCAAAGTCCATGCGGTCTCCACAGATGTAACCTCTCCAGCCAAGCGCCTCAAACCCACGGACTGTTCAAGCATATGGCGCCTCTGCTGCATGTGGTAGGACTTATGCTTTTCCCCTTGTTAGCATGCTACTTCTACTGCAGTCAGTGACATGCCAAGAGTCCCAGCTTGCTTGCTTGACCTTTATGTCCCCATGTTTTGTGGGCCCCTGGAGTTGTTTAATGTTTCCTGTATTCCCTGCCAATGACTGGAACAATGCTGTTGCTGGCCATACCAGCCGTTTGATGAGCTGGCTACTCCTCTTTGCCTGTTCAGTATACAAATCCTACTGAGTGGAGCTGCAGTTTGGTATGCTGGTGATGGCCACCACTGACAACCCTTTTTTTTTCTGTTAAGTTAACCCCACCCCCAGCTCCAGGTTCAAGAGCTAAACTCTTTCCACTCTACCTCTTCTAGATGACTACACAACACGGATAAGACCGAACTAGACTTTCGTACTGAAACTCAGAGTCAGGCACTGGCACTGACTCCATTCATACTCCTAAACTGACTAATGCTGAAACCATTAAACAAAACTATTTAGCAACTGAGAATTTTCTTCTGACCTGGCTTTATTTTGCATTCAAATTGATATTCAAATGCAAATTTTAGTCTATCCAAACACACACACAAAGACACACACACACACACACACACACACACACCTCTCCTCTTCATTCATTCTGTTTGTTTCATTTATTTATCACTCATACATTAAAGTTCAAATTACGAGGTGTTTACATTCTAAAGGTTTTTTTTGACTATTTTAATTCTATTGATACCTTCATTTATTAGAACTACCGATGGCGACATAATTTCCACCTCAATTTTATTATAATCTTCCCAGAGATCTTTTATATAAGCATGTGCGTGTTTGTGTGTGTCTGTGTGTGTGCGTGTATGTGTGTGCACGCGCATGTAAAATCTGGACTGCAAGCTCTTTAAATGCACTATTTGCACTTTACATTCTTATTTCTCTCCCTGCATTCCGCTCTTTGCATGACTATTGCCCAAAGGAAGAAGAGCTGTGACTTAAACACATCAGTTGTTGCCTTTTCCTCCCATGACCGGGCATTAGAATGCTCTGGAAGATGAGATGGAGAATGGAAAGCAGATGAGTCTCTTGACAGAATGTCCAGAAGCATCATCTGAACTTCCAGACAACCCTCCACTGATACCGCTCTGAATCCCAGACAATAAAACCTGAAACCGGAGCAGTCACTCCAGGCAGAGGTATTCGCATTCTCTCGGGGAGGATTCTATGCCAACAGCAAGTGACTGCCAGGCCCCCAGTTTAACCCCCTAGCCACCATCATGTCACTTCTACTGCAAATCAGATGAGCAGCAGAGCCAACTTGCCTCTCTTTGGGTAGAAAACAGATGGCTGGACCAGGGAAAGCTGACGGAAGGAATCGGAAAACAAGTATCAATCAACCCAAGCAACTCAGCATTAGCGAGCAGGCACGGCAGCTCTGGGCAGGGTTCTCTGGTGGTGTTTTTAGCTGCTTTCTTAATTAAGGATTAGCTGTGGAGCTCATCAGCCCCCCTAAGTCCGTGGTAAATGTGCCAGGTGGTGTCTGAGAGCCTCCTCCTACCATGATTTCTCAGACATGCTGAAGAAGAGCATGCGGGTGCCAGCTAGCCAAGGAGCTGTGCACAGGCACACAATGGAGTAGTATTTAAAGGGACATCACCCTAGAGTGCACTCAGTGGTCTGAGTCTCTAATCCAGCACACAGTGTGTTAGGAGTGTATTGTCTATTCTCTCCGACTAACTAATTACAAATTATTTTAGAAGAAAGGTATCTTTGGTATTCTCATAGCTTGTCATATGACACTAGAAACACTGCCCAAAGCTTTTTTGCAATGTGATATTGCAATGTGGCTGTCTTGATCCATCGATTCATTTAGATATCAAAATGGTCCATAGTATAGCATATTTTATCTCCCTTACATGCCTACGGCTTTATCTTATGTCCATGTTAACACTTTATGCATTTTCCTTATTGAGTTTCCCATGGCCATAAAGTTCTTATGGGAGGCAACCAGGACTTAGGTTAGTATCTGGCTCTTCCCCTTAAGATCAATGGTAGCTGAATCATGAATGACCAGATCTCCATTCATGCTTGCTGATTTGAATAGATCCTTAGAACTATATGTGTGTGCAGGCTCCAAGAGGGAGTCCATGAATCCCAGGTTCTCTAAGACCACTTATTCTTATTTGTGCCAGGCACTGTGTACTGTGGGTCCCGCTGATTCACTATGGTCTCCCATGTTGCAGGGAGAAAGAATCAGTGGTCATATGTGAACGTCAGAATACTCTTTTTACCCAAATTATTGACCTCTCCCTCTTAAGCTTCCCACTGGTATAATCCTGAGATGCTGCTCCACTTTCCGCCATGAAACTAGATGAGAGCAATAATATGTCCAGGACAGCATCTGACACAAGTGACTGCTAATATTTTGTCAGGTTTTTACTTTAAGAATTGAGACTTCCTATTCATTTCTTTATGAGTTGTATTTTCTTCAAAGAAAGCCTGCAGCCTGGATTCCCAAGCACGAAAAGGGAAAGACAGAAAATGACAATCTTTTGACATAGATAAACCATAGCAATGACCTCACGGATTTCATCGTAACTGTTTGGATTTTAGCCCAAGTGTGTAATGCAAGTGACACCTAGATCACAGATTGAACCAGGCTTCTGCTTTTAAGGTCAGTCTGCCTTCTTCACAGCCTGTTGCTGTTCTCTCGTTTGAAGTGCATAGATGATACTAATTGGCACATTACAAGGAGGAAGTTGACTAGCAGGGGTGCTAAATCCCAAGATACAGATGGGGATTGTGTCCCAGGGCAAGAAACTAATAGTAAAAGTTTAGAAGTGGCTCTGGGGTGTAGAATGGACAAGAGTATAGAAACCCGAAACTCAGCGGGAACAGCTCAGGCTGAGGTCCCTGGACAATGCTTTAGTCACATTTCCTGCCTCTGTGGCAGGAAATGTTGACAAAAATGTTGTGGGAGAACGGGCTTGCTTTGACTCCCAGTTTGAGAGTGCATTGTTGTGGAGAGGTCGTGGAAGCAGGAGTCTAAAGAGTTTGGCCACCTTGCATTTGCTATTAGAAAGCAGAGGGTGATGAGGGCTAATGTGAAGCTCGCGTTCTCCATCTTGTTCAGTTCTTGACCCTAGCTCATGAGATGGCACCATCTACACCGTTAAGGTGGGCTGCCCCACCTCCATTTGCCTGATCTATTTAAGCCCCCACAGCAATGCCTACAGACTAATATAGCTTAGACAACCCTTCACATGCAACAGGATGCTTTAGCCTTCTCACTGAGTGCAGAAACCCAAGTGTACTTTGAAAAAATTCATGGGATCATTGAATAAGTTAGAAAACCAACTTTAGATGTATCCTGGCTCTTTATGAGACAAGAGGAGAGACCCAGTGGCTATGCAGGTCCAAGCTGAGGGAGAGCCCGTGTCATGGCAGTCAGAAATGCTAGGAGACCAGGGGGTCTACCCAGGCCAACCTCTCTACACCTAAGGTGCTTCTTTCTGCCTCTCATCCAAAATACCTTTTTGCATACCTGCTCTGAAGCTGGCATTCTTGCCAGCTCTCTTTAAGAGACTGGATAGACAAGCTTTGTTGCAAGGAGTGGATCCATGGTGCACAAAGAAGGCATAGGATACAGAGTGAGGAAACCCATGAAAGGCAGAGCATGTGAAGTTACCAAAGTTAGGAACCCTTCAAGTCAAATACCCCAGGCTTTCTGAGCCCGTGATCCCAAGATTGCACCCCTGCCCAGTGATGTGGAGACCATACAACTGCTTGACTGGAGAAATGTCCACTAACATACTTAACATGCCAGGATTCAGAAATTTAGGGGGTAGAAAACAAACCCTTTGGAAGGGCTTAGAAAATACAGAGGTGTTCTTAAAGTCTGCATGGCCGATGCTCCCGCCCCCTCTCCTGACAAGTTCGCCTTCAATTAAAAAGTCAGATTTGACTGTCATTCCAGTATCTGGTAAAGGAGCAAGCCATCCATAAAATACTTTGTGTTTGCATAATAATTTTATGCTCTGTCATCGCTGGTGCATTTTCACCTACTGACAACTCTGCAGAGCGTGCAAAGCTAGAGAGGCAGCCACTAGGGATGTGCCCTCTGAGTTCAAACCCAAGCCCCGTCTCTCCCCAGAGGACGGCCTCGGGGGCCTGGTTACCCTGTCAGAGCCCCTTTATCCTTCTCTAGCGACTTTTGTGTCATGAGATAACATTTTGGGTCATGGTTTTCATCAGTCATGGTAGAAACCCCGGGCAGAGAAATCCTTTCATGGCAGAGACTATTCTTATCACGGTAGATGAGGAAGCTCAGAGCAAGGCAGGAAGTGAGGCCAGGATAACCGTCAAAGAATGGCCCACCATCTCACGGCCGAGTTCCACCAGCGAGGCTGCATATCTCCTCAGGATTCTGAAGCCTCTGGGAATAGTGTCAGGAGCTGATGATGAATCACTTGAAACATAAGCTTGTGAGGAACACCCTGCGCCCAAATCCTAACATCTGGGATGGGCACAGCACTAACCCTGCGTCTCTGGTTGTTTATGAGGAAAACAAATGAACTGACCTAAGAAGCAGTTAGGATAATATCTGATAGACATAAGGAACTAAGAACCATATTAGCTTTTGTTACTGGTCCTGGCTGGAAGCTGTCACCTGGCATTTAGACTCACAATTACCACTAACTAAGAATCCACCTAAACCCTGCCTCCCTTTCTTACGTACAAAAGGGATCCAAGTCCTCCCTCCTTTGGAGATTTTCTAACAGATGTAGAGAGGAATGCACCGAGGAAGGCTTCTTAAGCAGCAAGAGGATAAGGCTTATGAAGAATATCTCTCTCCTTATTACCCTCAAAACAGATAGACCCGACACTACCCATCCTGCTGGCTCTTACTCTCAGGCATCCAGGAAGGCAAGCACTTGCTAGCAAAATCTAAAATGGAACTACTCCTTGCAGTTTAACACAAGGCCTTTGTATCCTCCACTGCCTCCAGGATAAGCCCAGACCCAAGTGAACAAAAAAGTGGGCAGAGATTTCCAGGTAACACCTGTCTATGGGGGTGGGGTGTATGTGCGGAAAACCGCGCCAGAGCCCAGCAGTGCTCTGAGAAGCAGACCCATCAGCCAGGCTTCTCTGACAGCTACAAATTCCTCCAGCCCCAGAGTGTGTCACAACCTGTCAAAAGATCAGTTTGATGTTTACCGTCCAAGATGAGGAAGAGGGCAGTGAAGCAAAGCAGTCACCCTGACATCGGCAGCCTCCTGCCAAGGAGCTGGTGAGGGATCCGCGAGAGAGAAGGGAGGATGGTACCCGACACACCTTCTGCGCTTTATCCATCATGGTGTCTGCTATGAAAAGACACTGAAAGAGATTCAGAGCCAAACTGACAATGCCATGTTTTACTCTAGCCCCGGAGCCGACACCGGGCAAGAAGCCAGGATGGAGAGAACTGAATCCTGAGCAACTTGAGGAGAGAAGAACAGGGCTTCCACTTTTCTGAGGAGTTTTCTTGAAGACAGGGCATGGAGTCTGACCATCTCTGTCCCCTCCCCCT